GTGGGTAGGCTGGAAGGGAAAAGGCACTAAAAACAGGAGGACCACGTATGAAAGGAATTTACTGCAATGGTGGCTGCAATGTGGCTATACTGCAATGGTGGCTATAGTGCAATGGTGGCTGCAGAACTGTGGAAGAGGAGTCAACAAGAAATTTATTTCAGAGAAAAAAATCAGAGCGGTTGGCAAAACTCTGCAGAGAAGGCCAGAAGAAGTAGGAGGAAAGAATTCAGCATGACTCTGAAGGTTTTGGGTTTGGAGAACTGAGGAATGAAGCTACTTGAATGAATGTGGATACTGAGAGAGGAAGCTTGCTGGGTAGGTAGGCTGGCTGTTTGCCTGTCCTTCTCCCATCTGCTCTGTGTCACAGGGAGCTATACTTCTCAGCATTCTTTGACATTTAGTTCAAGAAACCATTTTTGGAAGATTGAAGAGTGGCGGAGAGGAGAAGCTGGAGAATATTCCTCATTCCCTCCTCTAAACTCATTCTTCTTGAGCATTTCCCATCTTGCAACTAAGTTCCAGATCTGTGTTTTTTCATACATTCTCTTCTTATCTGTCCATCAACCCACATTCCACTCATCCACTCATGTCTTCTCCCTCCTTCCTCTTCTTCAATCTGTCAATTAGAAACCACCCAGCAAAACAGAAACCTTACTAGGTGTTCCTAGGGATTGGAAATTTGAGGTTCATATTGGGGAAAGGACTAATACCTTTGTTATGGGATAGCTATATTATGAAAACGTTTTACTGTAAACTGTGGTAGAATGTGACTTGGCTCATGGTGCTATCAAATTCACTTAGTCATGAGCTCTGGCTTTGAAAAAATGTGAAGAAGCTTAACTGTAGAGATTGACACCTGTCTTAGTCTGTTCAGGCTGCTGTAACAAAATACCTTAGACTGGATGATTTTTGAAGAATGAACGTTTGTTTATCACAGTTCTGGGGGCTGGAAAGTCCCAGGTTAAGACGTAGTGGATTCAGAGTCTGGTAAGGGGTCACTCTCTGCTTCCTTGTTACTGTGTCTTTGCATACTGGGAGATGAATGCTGTGTCCTCACATGCCAGAAGGGCTAAAAAAAGGTGTACTTGGTCCCTCAAGGCATTTTATAAAGACAGTAACCTCATTGATAAGGGTGGCCTAATTACCTCCTAAAGGCCCCATTTCTTAGTACTATTGCATTGAGGATTAAGTTTTAACAAGGGTTTTGGAGAAACACAAACATTCAAATCATAGGAATACAAAAGGAAAGCTACCTTAAGTCATAGGCCCATGGACTCTTAGAGATGGAAAGGGTCATTTTACAGAGGGTCAAACTGAGGCCCAGAAAGACTCAGGCCATTTGAGACCACATGGGCTGCACTGAAGAAAAGTCATTTTTAACGCAACCAAATGCAATGAAACCAGAAGAGCTGTCTCTCTCTCTCTCTCTTTTGCACATGATCTTGACTTTTCAGAACTGGTATTGATCTTTTTAATGCAGGACAGTGGGAGGGCCAGTACAAGACTCAATAAATGTTGGATGATTTAATACACAAATGGTGAGGAAGAGGTGATGAGTCTGACAGCCTGTGGACTTCAGAGTTGGAGGATTTTATGGGAAGATATTTCAGGGAAAAAAGTGACACTATTTCCTGAATTAAGATCTTCTACAGCATTAAAGAAACCTAGGCAGCATAGGTAGATCCTGTCTCTACAAAAAAAAAATAAATTAATTAACAGCTAAGCATGGTTGTGCATGCCTGTAGTTCAAGCTACTTGGGAGGCTAAAGTGGGAGGAACACCTGAGCCTTGGAGGTTGAGGCTGCAGTGAGCTGAGATGGTGCCACTGTACTCCAGCCTGGGTGACAAAGATTTTGAGACCCTTTCTCAAAAATAAATAAATAAGCTTTTCCATGGTAGCCGCAGCAGGCATAGTGGGAGCAAAGGTGTAGTGAGGCTAGATGATGAATCAGTTGGAAAGATTTTGAGCTCAAGAAGCAGAAAACTCAACTTTCTTTGGTCGAAGCAATAAGGATGTTTATTGACTTGCAGAACCAAAAATTTAGGTGCAAGGTAAGCTTTACAGTTGACCAAACTTTGTAGCTCTGTGTGCATTTCCCTGCAGTTCTCTTGGCTCTGTTTCCTGTGTGAAGCCGTTTGACACTCAGGTGAATATGGTGAGGCTGTAGTTCTCCTCACAGCTCACATCTACGCATAATAACACCAAAGGACAAGAGAGAGGATTTTTGGAAGGTCTCCCAGAAGATGGAGGAAGGACTCTTTCAGCTCTTGCCCTTGCTTTCTCTTAGTCTGTTTCCCAAACAGCAACCAAAGGGATCCTGTTGAAACACAAGCCAAATCATGACACTGTCCTGCTCAAAACCCTCGGGCAGCCTCTGTATAAAAGCTGGGGCCCTTTCCAGACCTACAGTGCCTTGCAGGATCAGTCTGCCTCAGTGTCTCCTCTTTGACTTCCTCTCCTGTTCTTGTCCCTCTTGTCCACTACTCCGGCACACTGACCTCCTTGCTGCTCCTCAAACATTCTATAAGCCCATCCTGCTTCAGGACTCTTTGCCTGAAATGCTCTCCCTATAGACTTCATTTTGACAAATCCCTTGCCTCCCTTGATTGGCCTTTCCTGAGGACCCTATTTAAAAATGCAGTCCTTGGACTTTCATTCTTTCCATCTCTTCTTTACTTCACCTTGTTTCGCTGATCATCGTCAAATACTATAAATATTTTATGATTTGTTTATTGTCTGTCTCTCTCTCTTCACAGAGTCATGACTTCTTTCTATCTTCTGCCTTTAGTGAGTTCTATAGTCCCAGCATTTAATAGCAGTGCCTGGAACATAGTAGATGCTCAATAAGTATTTGCCGATTAAATAAACAAAGGTCTCTCCCAAGCTTCTCCTTTTCTTTCATTTGCTCAGTTTGGTCACATGACCTTTCTTGAGTCAATAGTTGCAAGGGTTTTGGGAATACTTTCAAAGCAATCAGACTTGTCCCTGGAGCTGGGGGTGGAGTTGATTTCCTGTGAAACACTTGGCTTCATGCAGACCTGGACAAAAATCTGGATTATTTTAGGAAGAAGAAGAGGGGGAAATGTGTTGGTTAGGCCACCCACAGTGTCAACCACAGATGGTGCTAGCCCTTTTTGAAGGCCTCATTGTGGCCTCCTGTGCATGCCCCACCTCCCCCTCAGAGAGCTTTTCACTCTCTGAGCAAAAAGATGATCACGATGGTGAGGACCTTCCCTCTGGGATGTATGGCTGTTGGGAATGGTGGGGAAAGGACAAGGGGGAAAGAAGAAAAATTGCAAAGATAAAACACCTTTGAGAAGCAGCAATAAAGTCTGCAAAATGAGAAAACCACATGCAAACCCCAGATTGCAACTTCAGAGGTGCCTATGGCAATCCCAAGCAAGCACTCTTCTTGAATGACAGTCTAATTTTACCATTATTGCAGAGAGGCCCACTTAAACATAGGCACTCCTCTGTGTGGGCTTCTGCATGTTAATGTCTGTGAGTGATAAAGGTCTGAGTTGTCCATGCTGCCTGGAAGCACAATGCCCTGTGAGGAGCTCTGGCATGCACAACTCTCAGCCTGCTTTAGGAACCACCATCAAAGCTAGGGCTCATCCTAACAGCTCAAGCACCATCTGCAGCTAGAGTCAGTGAGGACATTCACTTTTGCTCAGTAACAACCGTAGAGAGAGGATCTAAAAGAAGCTAAACTCACATCATGAATGGCTCCATTCAGCACCAGAGAAGGTTCAGCATATTCATTCTTTGATTTCATAGTAGATTATTCAGTACATGCTATGTGGTAGACACGATTCTAGGCACTGAGGATACAGTCTTGCCTCTCTAATGAGCCAGGATGCTCATGTAAAAATGAAAACTCAAATCCTGTGCCCTGCTTAGAAGTCTCCTTATAAGGACTCTATGTCTCCTTATCACACTGAGAAGAATTCTCAAATCCCTTAGGCGGCTCCCGCCCACCTTGCCTCCTTATCTCCCTCACACCTGGCTGACTTCGGAGGTTCCTGTGCTCCAGTGTTATCCTGGCTGCCCTCTTTCTGCTGCTCTCTTACTCCATGCTAGTTCCTGTCACAGGTCTTTTGCACCTTTTGGTTGTGTCCCCTGGAGCAGTCCTCCCTTGCACCACTCATGGCCAACCTCTCCTTACGCAACTGTTTCTCAGTGCTGTGCTGTTAAAGATGCCTTGCTTGACTAATGCTGTACCACACACCAGGGGTGGCATTAAACATCTCTAGCAACAGGGTTGGTACAATCACTGGGTAATCCAAACAGATGCTAGCCATTTACAACTGGGACAGCATATGTCTCTACAGGCTGAATGCCATCCAATCACACACAACTTCCCAGTTAGTAAATCAGCCAGTTACATTCATTTCTGTCATACTACCTGCCAGTCTCTGACATTATCTCCCTCTTCCTTCCCCCAACCCCAGCTTTCTATTTTTTCCTTGCATGCACCCATTAAAGCAAAAGTTTGTTTTGTTCTTTGGCATTACAACATGGCAGTGCCTAGTTCTGAGTCTGGCACAAAGTAGGCTCTCCATAAATACTTGTTGAATGAAAGACTAGAACATCCCAGCCCTCAGGTAGCTTACGTTCTGTGAGATGGGATTAGCGGTGGCAGTTTTAGAGGTGCACACGTGGACCACTGAATTGCCTTAGAATTCTGAATTCTGAAATAAGAAAGTAACTCTGAACTGGAGGGAATGATCATGACCCTGTGAGTGGCTGGGAGAGGGCAGCTATGCATAGCTTCTGGGATGATGAGTCTGGGGCAATGTCTGCAGGATAGATGATGTGCAGAAAAGGCTATAGTTCTTGAGGACTTTTTGCCACATCGCTTTGACCCTAAGCTGTGATAGCACTCACTATCTTCCTGCAGTTTTGGTCTTTTTGTAGAGTCTGAAATGAATATGGCTCTTGACAGCTTAAATATCATCTTTAGTGATCCTACCTTGAATGTCTTAATTCTTTTTTAAAAAATATGGAACATTTCGCAAATTTGTGTGACATCCTTGCACAAGGACCCTGCTAGTCTTCTCTGCATTGTTCTAATTTTAGTATATATGCTGCCAAATGATGCCCTTGTGAGACAGGTAGATGAAATCAGCTTCATTTTGCAGACCAGTAAATGGAGAGCTGAGCACAGTGGCCTGTGCCTGTAGTCCCAGCTATTCAGGAGGCTGAGGGGGAGCATTGCTTGAGCTTACAAGTTCGACGCCAGCCTGGGCAGCATAGTGAGAACCCCACTTTTTAAAAAACAAGCAAGAAATTGAGACCCAATGAGATTAGATGACTTGCTCAAGGATACAGAATGAGGAAGAGGCAGAGACGAAGCCCAAACATTGTATTTATACTGCACCCAAATGTGAGGTTTTTTTTTTGAGACGGAGTTTTGCTCTTGTCGCCCAGGCTGGAATGCAATGGCACAAGCTCAGCTCACTGCAACCTTCACCTCCTGGGTTCAAATGATTCTCCTTCCTCAGCCTTTGAAGTAGCTACGATTATAGGCATGGGCTGCCATGCCAGGCTAATTTTTGTATTTTTAGTACAGTCAGGGTTTCACCATGTTGGTCAGGCTGGTCTCGAACTCCTGACCTCAGTTAATCCACCAGCCTCAACCTCCTAAAGTGCTGGAATTACAGATATGAGCCATCACTTCCAGTCACATTAGGGCTTTTAGGGTGTCCATCACCCAACTGATCCACTTCTGGTCTTCTCTAGGGAGATGTTTATTTTGTTTTCAAGTGAGGCTTAAGTGAGAATGGTTTGTGAGCCAACCACAGTACTGTCTTGACTGGCTGTACCATTTTATGCCTTTTGAAAATCCTCTCATAGTTTTTAAATTGACATTATATTGAGATAATTGTAGATCCACATGCATTTGTAAGAAATAATACAGTGATCTCATATGCCCTTTATCTAATTTCTCCCAGGGATAGTATTTTGCAAAACTGTAGTACGATAGGATATTGACTCTCACATTTGAAGAGAATTTTAAAAAATGCACGCAGGGAGTTCAGGGGCAAGGCATACATCTCTGCCCTTGGGCTGTGCCAGCACTGCCCTGTGAGCCTGGAGTTTGAGGCCTGGGCCGCAGTCTGACCCAGCTCTGTCACTGCTCCCTGTAGGGTCTCCTTGGGGCTCAGTTTCCCCACCAGTGTGGCCAGTGTGAGCTTTTAGATGACAGGGACCATGTGTCTCTTGCTTTGTGTCTGGTCCCTGGTGTGGAGTAGACTCAAGTAGACTTCCTGCTTCCAGAGACTTAGTAAGGAAAGTGGACAGAGCCATAGAGCCTCTAGATGGTGGGTGTATGTCAAGAAAGCAGTGCTGCCAGGCTCTGGGTGACCTTGGGAGATTTTGTTCCTTCACAAGCCTCAGCCTTCTTAGCTGTAAAATGAAGGGCCGGATAATGTCTGTAAGATCTTTCCAGTTTTGATGTAGGATTCCAAGTTGTCAAAAATAAGAGAGATTGTATTATTGCAGATTGAAAAATAATTATCTTTTATGTGCCACACGTAACTTTCTATTTCTCAGGCTACCTGTTATGTAGCATCAACATTGCCTCATATATCAGACACTGCTGTAATAAGTATGCAATTTGTAGCTGCAATTTCCATTTTATGGCAACATCTGATTTACATGAGGTGTTTTTAAAGCATGTCACTTATAACGTACACACCTGCCAAGAGCCTGCTCTTTCATAATGACTTTTCAGCGAGGTCAACGAAAGCACCCAAGTAAACAAACAGCAGGCAAGCTTTCAACACCAAAGCTTCTTTTCCACCCTGGGGAGGGATGTCACCACCCCTCAACAGAAGATGGTGATAAACCTCCCACATTCAGACCTGCCTAGTTTAATCAAGACTGAACCCCCTTCTAACAGGCACTCTTGAATTCCAGTTGGAGAGGAGAGCAATTCACAGGCCTGTGTATGCAGCAGGTGAGGGGCTGTTTGTGGAAAATTAGCTAAGAATCAATGCACTGAATGACCAGTTCATTGAGTGTTCAATTCCATTGGTCATTTTGATAGAAATTTGAAGATGAATATTCAAGAGGTAGAGGCAGAGGCCAGGTAATAGGTAGGGGCATGCAGAAAAACAAGTATGAATTTGCTAAATTCATCAACTGTTTGCTGGCCTTTTGGAAAATCAGTAGCTTTGAATGTTGGCTGTTGATGAATTGATTTTTGGCAAATTCATCTGTTTCTGGTGGGTCAGTTCAGTCTGCTGGAGATCTGAAAACTTGGCCTTTTAGTGTTGCTGATGCAGATTTTAGGCCTACTTTGTCCATCCTTCTGCAGCCAAGCAGAACATCCCTAAGCCAGCTTGATCACAGGAAGAGAAAGAGGGATAGTAACACAGGTCGTGCATGATAGATCTAATCCTTGCCTATTCCTGGCACACCTTGAGTGAAAAGGATTTTGAGGAATCTCTCTCCTTAATTCTGGCATGAATTTAGTGGCCTTTGAAGCAGAGCCAAGCAGACACAGGCTTCGTGGAAACTTGATCCTCTTGCAAGACTCTGAAGCTTTTTCAGCCAGCGCTTAAACACCACCGCTCATATAATTATGCTACCAGGAATTTTCTTCCAGCTTCTCATGCTAGTGCAATAATAGTGAAGCACTCAGGGACCAGGTAAAGTAAGGGCAGTGAGGATGTCTTCAGCATCTGCTGACTCAGCCTCTCTCGGACACTCTGAGGTCCAGTTAAACAATTTGACATGGTTGGCTGCCCACCAGGACAAAGACTGGCTGAGAAGAGGCTGAATTTCTGCCTCAGATATTTGGCCTCTTGTTCAAAATCTTCCCAAAGGTCAATCATCTGGCTAGGATTTCTTGGAGAGCCTTGATCCTGTACAGCTTCTGTTTGAGGCACACTGGCCTGTGAAGCTTGTAGCACAGGCATGCAATGCCCTACTAGTCACCAGCTGACCCTGGGGCTATAGCGATGACTAGTAGGCTGGTAGATAGGCTTAATAAAGATTTATGAATGAATACTAGCCTTGAACGGCATGTAGTCAGCAAGGTGCCTGCCTTTCTCATCTCACTCCTGGCTACTTTGTCGTGGTGGAGGACTTTCTTGGCCCAGTTCCATGGTGTAAGACATTACAAGGGATTTCTCATTCCTGTGATGTGGCCCATTTCCTGGTTGTGTGGCACTGCCCATCATGCCCTTGAATATGCCGTCTTCTTAGCTAGGAACTGTAAGGCGGGTCGCCTCGCCGGGAGCTCGGACACGCCCATACCTCTCCATGCCTAGAGACTACGTCACCGCCCGGCACCAAGCTCTGCACTCAGCACCTAGCCCGCCCGTTGAAAAACCTCGCCAAAGTTTAAAAGAAGCCCCGCCAAACCCCGCCCAATAGCAGTTTGTCCCTTCCGCGTCCCGCTTCCCCTGGGCAGCTCGCTCACTGGAAATCCCACCTACCTACTAGGGGCAGCTCGCCCCATCCACGTCCTGTTCCCTCATAGCCAATCAGGACACCCTCACTCGCTGTAAAACCCCACGCCTCGGGAAGTCGAGCGTGACTTCCCTGGCCCCTTTCCCCCGGGCCATGGAACCTCAAGCCTGGGAGTTGAATAAATTGGCATTTAATTTTCTTATGCTGGTCTCAGTTTCCTCATTCTAAACTCGGCAATAAACCTTACAGGAATGCCCTCTCATTGTCTATTAGCTTGTCTGAACTTCTCCGTCTTTGATACCCAGCTCAAATGCTATCTTTGGTGTAACAACTTCCCAGTTCCTCCAGCTTAGATTACTTTGAATTGTACTTGTTTCTGCATGTCAGTCACCTACTGTATTGTAAAACCTTCAGGGACAGACCCTAACCTTTATTCTCACTTATTCATTCACTTGATTAGAAACAGTGTAAGATAATGGTTAAGGGCACAAACTATGGATTTATAGTTTAGGTTCAGTGTGCAACTTATTGATTATGTAATTTACAGTGAGTGATTTAAACTCTTTAAACTATTTTTTCCTCCTCTTTTCCTTCTTCTTCCTCTTCCTCTTCTTAACCTTTCCCATTTGCCTTCTCCTTCTCCTTCCCCTTCCCTTCCTCTTTCTCCTTCCCCTTCCCTTCTCCTTCCCCTTCCCCTTCCCTTCCCCTTCCCTTCCTTTCCCCTTCCCTTTCACTTCCCTTCCCCTTCCACTTCCCTTTCCCTTCCCCTTCCACTTCCCTTTCCCTTCCCTTCCCCTTCCCTTTCCCTTCCTTTCCCTTCCCTTTCCCTTCCCCTTCTCTTCCCCTTCCCTTCCCCTTTCCTTCCCCTTCCCTTTCCCTTCCCTTCCCCTTCCCTTTCCTTCCCCTTCCCCTTCTCCATCCCTTTGTCATACCCTTCTCCTTCCCCTTCCCCTTCTCCTTCTCCTTCTTCTTTTTTGAAACAGAATCTTGTTTTTTTTGCCCACACTGGACCACCTTCTTGGCTCACCACAACCTCCATCTGCCAGGTTTAAAAGATTATCTGGCCTCAGCCTCCTGAGTAGCTGGGATTATAGGCATGCACCACCACATCTGGCGAATTTTTATATTTTTAGTAGAGGTGGGATTTCACCATATTAGCCAGGCTGATCTTGAACTTTTGACCTCAAGTGATCCACCCGCCTTGGACTCCCAAGGTACTGGGATTACAGGTATGAGCCATCATGTCTAGCCTCTATTTTTCTTATATGTAAGGATGAATATTGTGGTAGTATCAAGTTTTAGAATCATTGGAGGAATTAGACAAATATAGCATTTATTGGGCACTTACTATGTACCAAGCATTATGCTGATAATAGTAATTAATACGATTATTTATTCAACAGTTTTTTGGCACAAATATGGGGACCTGATACTGTTCTAGGTGTTGCCTCTAGGAGCTAGCAAAATGTTTGGTATAGAGTTGGGGCTTGGTAAATGTTCACTGAATGAGTAAAGCTAGAACAAGTTGTGAACTTAAGTTTGTAAATCTTTGTGTCAGTCAAGTAAGCTGGATTATGCCATGTAACAAACATCTCATCCCCAATATCTCATGGGCCTGATATGACAAAAATGTATTGATCACTCCTCTTATATGGTTAGTATGGGATAGCTGCAATGC